TGGATGGATGGATGGATGGATGGTTGGATGGATGGATGGATGGATGGTTGGATGGATGGATGGATGGTTGGATGGATGGATGGTTGGATGGATGGATTCACTGCTTTTCTCTGGGCTCTATACCCCCATCTACAATTTAAAGGTGTTCGACTTGATCTCTACGGCGCATCAAGCTTCTGGATTCCACATCCCTAGTGTGAGTATCTTCAGGTTCCTTCCCTGCCCCCTTCAGCATACCAGAGCCTGCAAATCCTGAGAATCACGCAATAACCCTTCGGCTGCAATCATTCTTTCTGTGAGCATCATCATGAGCTGTTGGGCTTTGGAGCTGGAACACTTAAATTGGTCCATAAGAAAGTGCTGGATGTTTTCCATCTGTTTCCAGAAAGCTTCCATCTGTGAAATGAGAATGAAAAGCAAGAGGTGGGTGTAGAAAACTTATTTAAGAAAGTTACAAAGCTAGACGGTTCATGCTTGATAATTACAATTCATTCCTTATCACACACTGAGATTCTAAACACTTCTGCAATTGGGAACGAGTTTATCTTGGCAATAATCGAGTTCTATAGAGAGGTTCCTCCCTGGTGTATTGTAGGTGCCAGTCAGTTTCAAGATGGCTTTTCAGCAAACACCAATGCTCTGCTGATAAGGAAGGCATGCACAATGAGATCACCCAGTGTAAACAGCTTAAAGACTCTTAAACAGGCCACAATTGCTGCCTGGGGAGTGTGTGAAATTTGCCAGTGTGATCCTGGAAGCTTCCATATCTCCAAAAGGGATTAACCGTGTTCTGGAAATAAAAGCACGGATGGCCATTTACATTTCAGTTATTGCTCTAAAAGTACAGAAGAGCAATATGGCAGAGACAGTGCTGACCATGAAAACATTCTGCTTTAAAATCGTTTTCCTCTGGGGGCCTGGGTGGCTCAGTTGTTAAGCATCTGCCTTCGGCTCAGGTCATGGTCCGAGGGCCCTGGGATGGAGCCCCGCGTCGGGCTCCCTGCTCCTTGGGAAGCGTGCTTCTCCCTCTCCCACTCCCCCTTCTCGTGTTCCTTCTCTTGCTATGTCTCTCTCTGTCAAATAAATAAATAAGATCTTTAAAAAATAAAAAATAAATAAAATAAAATAGCTTTCCTCACCCCCCATCTTATCAGGAGGAGAGGTGGGAATCACTGAGTGGCTGAGAATGTCAAGGCTCATCCAGCCTCCCAGAGCTCCAAGAACCGGGATACTAGCAGTCATAACCACCTCCCTTTCCGGCATGCAGGTAGGTGCCAGGCTCTGTGCCTCACCCATTTTGTGTCCAGGTAAAATGTCTATATAGGCCCGGCTGCAGGAACAGCCTCAGAAAGTTAGGTCACCGGTCCTGGGTCACAGAGCTGGGAGGCAGGGGCAGAGTTGGGGCAGATCCCCTGAACTCCCCAAGCTGTGGCTTTTCTCCATCGTGGCTCGGCCTCTCCGACTTCTAAATTCGTCTGGGCACCTCTTGTGGCACAGGGCACGGGCATGGGAAGGGTTGGGGCTGAGCAGCACCAGAAGCCTGCCCTGACCTTGTGGCACGGCGGAAAGGTGGAGACAAATGCAACCTGAAACACTGAGTCACTCTGAGCAGCCACGTCCCAGGGGCCACGCACGGCTGAGAGGAAGCCCACACCAGGGTGGGCAGGCCCTTTGTGCCCCCAGGGACCTGTGTCCCAGCCGGGCAGCAGCCCATCCATCAAACCTCTGGCCTCCCTCCTGCTCCCGGCCCCCCACCAGTTGCCCTCCCTCCCGACTGCTCTAAGAGGACGTGATTATCACCTGTGACATCCTCCCACCTCCAAACAGAGTTGGATGTCCAGCCAGCATTGCTGCTTCTCCGCCAGCCCCAGAGAGCCGGGATACCCACTCTGTTCTTAAAAACTCTTGATTCTCTTGGCGTCCGTGACATGGTTTTCTCCCGGTCCCTCAGAGTCCATACTCTGCCTTCTTGTCTCAATTCTCCTTGGCCCCCCTCCCCTTTAAATGCTGGCAGGATCCCAGACTGGGCACCAGGTGCCTTTCCCTACCCTTTCTATACACACCCTAGGCCAGGGCGTCTCCACTGCTGAAGGTCACCATACGTCCAAGAATCCTGGGCATACTATGAATCATGTGCCTGAAATACGCAGATGCGGATGCGCGGGTCCACTGCTTTGGGGAGCCCGTGGACCCAGGAATCCAGGCTGAGCACCCTCCCTCTGCCACTCATGCCATGAACAACCTCGCTCCCCATGTCCTCTGACCCAAGCTTAGTGGAGGCTCTCCATCTTCGGGCATCTCCACCTCAAGATGTCAAGTCAGGGCTCACCAGCTCCTCTCCCAACTTGCTTCTCATTCTGGGATCCTTATTTCCATAGAACTAATCCTTTACACCCTCTTCTCTTCCAAACCTCATTTTCTGCTACCCTATCAGCTCTCCCACTTTTTCTTACCCCTCTATTCCTATCGCAACTGCCTTCATGAAATTTTCCTACTGCCCTAGCCCCAGAGCACATACCTATCCTCCACTGAGCGTCCCGAGCTGTCCTTCTAAGACAGAAAAGGATCCAGCTGCCTTCTGCTGCCAAACTGCAGTGACTCCCACCTCCTTGGCACAAGATGAAAACCCTCAGTCCAGATCTCTGGCTTTCTCTGGCTCTGCTTCTCCTCAGTCCTCCCTGGCTCCCTTCTTTGCCTGCCCACAGGCCAGCATCCACCCACACTTCTCCCAAAAGGCCTCTCGATGGGTCTTTTCTTCTACGAAGATTTTCCTAACCCTAGGATAAAACGGATTCCTCTCTCCACTGCGCCTCCACCTTCTGGTGTTTTCATCTGTCACAATGCTTGTAAGCTATAAAATCCAAATCTGCTCACCTGTCAGTCCCCCTACTAAGCTAGCCTGTGCATCTCTGGCAAGGCCAGGTCCAAGGGCATTCTGAATCCCCAGTGTGCAGCACAGTGCTTGGGTGCCAAAACCACCCCCCCCAAAACCCTGTTTAATACCTAATATAGGAACAGGGGATAGTGGAATGGAAATGCAAAAAAGGGGTATTTGAAGGAAGCCACCCTCTTTGGAATTTAAAGCAGGTATTTATAAGTGATGCCTGGGGTCGAAAAGTTAGCAGCTAGCGTCTGCTCTAATCCACAGGGCGGGAATGACATACAGGGTTAGAGCAAACTTTGCTTTGAATGACAAAAAGATCAATCTAAAATTTAAACAAGAGGGATTCCTTTAAAAACAAAAAACTCTGTAAATCTTCGCCCCTTCATTATACCTTCTCTATTACTTACTTTCCGAAACTGGATCACTGGCTTTGGGGCAGAACACATCAGGGATTTCAAGTCTTAAACATGCTTCTAGGTGCCATCTCTTTAATCTTGCTAATTTAACTGCCCCAGAAACCAAGGTTTTTATAAGGAAAAAGAAAAAAAATCCATCACATACATTATCTATTAGCTGCTCAGAGTATTCTCGCTCCTTCTTTTCCACATCTGCCAGAGTGATGTATTCAGAATCACCAGCCCCCAACATTTCCGTGTTTGACAGTTTGACCTGAAGTCCCTTTTCTAATTCCTCCAAGTCCTGGGGAAAACAGAAAAAAGTGGGGGTGGTGGTGGGAATAAACAAAGGAAAAATCTAATATATCTTAAATTCTAGAAAAGAAATGCTTTCATCTTTCACCACATTATCACAAAATATTTCTTAACCATAATTAGCTGCTCTGGCATTGTCCTACTTAAGTCTGATGATAGAAATCTATCTTTCTCATTAGACATAGAGTCCCAAGAATACTGGATTCTTTTCTTCTATATTGCTCCCTCCCTCCCCTCGAAAAAAAAAATAGAACATACTTAAAAAAAATGGTAAATTAGTCTCTTTCATTTCTTACGGAGTCTTGGAAAATGCCGTGACTCCAGGGGGTTGCGAGGGAATGCTTCTTCCCCACTCCTCTGGTTTCCGTGGGGAAGGATTAGTCACTACAACCCAGGGAGGGCGGGACGTGATGTGATTGGTGGGTTCAACAGCAGGAAGTGGCACCCTTAGCTTGTCCAGCCTCTTCCTCTTTGGCATGGGCCGTTCATGGGGAGGCTATGGCTGTGGCGTGTCCTCGGCTCACGGTGCGCTGGGCAGCAAAGGGCCTGCCGCAGAGGTGGTGGGCGTGGTCAACACCGAGGCAGGCAATCTGGCGAATTCTGGGATCCAGAGTGCGGAAGCTGAGTCCTCCAAGCTGGCCTCTCCGTAGTGAAGCCGACTTTTCTGTGCGCCTGTCCCTGACCCTTTGTTATCAGTTCAGAATGGGGGAAGGACGGGGGTACCCTCTGTAGGGAGTCCCTCTGGCCCCGAGGTGAAGGCTGGGAGGAGCCCTGTCTTCTCCAGAACTGTGCTGGGAGACCTGGAATCCGCCCCGGCGCGCCCCCAGCTTCACTAGGGAAAACGATGCCCATAAAAACTGCTTCTGCGCGTCCCAGCCGAGGCCGTGCGTGGTGTCGGGCCCTCGCGGGGTCGCTTCGACAGAGCAGGGCTGGCTCCTTCCAGCTGAGGAGCCCGGTACTCGGGGAGTTGGGGTGTTTCCTCCGGAGTCTCCTTGCAGTGGCAGGAAGTGGCGCGCTGGGCTGGTCCCTCAGCCCCACCGACCCCAGATGCCCACTCCTCCAACTGCACGCGTCCCCGTCACGCCGCTTCTCTCCCAAGAGCAGCTGCGGGTTCTGGGCACTGCTTGTCCCCTTCTAGAAGTCCGGGGGCCATCGTGAGCAAGCACCACCACCACTGTGGTTAACAGGCCCTACAGGTGCTGGAGGTGGAGTCAGATCCGGGGTCTGCAGACGGCAAAGCTCTTACTCTTGCACTAGAACCCCACTTCATTATTATGTGTGGAATGTCCAGTATCACCATGATCATCATTATTTATTCACTGGGGAGTCACTGAAACTCAGTGAGCCTCAGTTTCCTCTGCTGTAAACAAAAATAATAATAATGGCCACTCACAGGGCTGCTGTGAAGATGGAATAAAATCATGCGTGAAATGCACTGTAATACGTGTGCATTGCCTGATGAGGACAATCCTGGTAGCAGTGGTCCTGAGGATGGTGACGGTGATGATGCACCACCTCCTTCCTGGGGTGCAGTGATTCATCCTTCCCCATGAGATCCAGAGGAATGGGGGAAAAACATGCCCTCCCAATCCCCCACATCTCATGGGGCGGTGATGGGGAAGATGGTGGTGGCGGTGGTGATGATGAGGATGATAAGGAAGATGCTGGTGGTGGTGAGGATGAGGAAGATGGTTGTTGTGGTTGGCAGGAAGATGTGCGCAGCCATCATGATTCAGGGTCTAACTATTACTTTGCTAGGTGCTTCATACACACTTCTCTTAGCCCTTCCATGATCCCACAGGACGGGAATCACTATCCCATGGCACAGGAGGAACCTGGGATTCTGAGAGTTTGTGAAAGAAAGAACCAGGGTATCAACCTCCACCAGTCAGACTCCAAGACCTGGCTCGTTTCACTGCACATAAAGCAACGTAAACTCCATATAAAAGCCTGAGAGGAGTAGAATGCACCATAGTATAAACAGTTAAAACCAATAAATTAATTAGGTATTTAAAAATACCAACCTAGGGGCGCCTGGTTGGCGCAGTCTGTTGGGTGTCTGACTCTTGATTTTGGCTCAGGTCATGGTCTCAGGGTTGTGGGATTGAGCCCCACATTGGGCTTCACGCCCAGCAGGGAATCTGCTTCTCCCTCTACCCCTCCCTGCCTGCTTGAGCTCTCTCTCTCTCTCTCAAATCAATAAATAAAAACTTAACAACAACAACAAAAACCTAGGAGTGCCTGGTTGGTGCGGTCGGTTCAGTGTCTCACTCTTTTTTTTTTTTTTTAAGATTTTATATATTTATTTGACAGAGAGAGACACAGCGATAGAGGGAAAACAAGCAGGGGGAGTAGGAGAGGGAGAAGCAGGCTTCCCGCTGAGCAGGGAGCCTGATGCGGGGCTCGATCCCAGGACCCTGGGATCACGACCTGAGCCGAAGGCAGACGCTTAACAACTGAGCCCCAGGCACGCCTGGGTGTCTCACTCTTGATTTCAGCTTAAGTCATGATCTCAGGGTCCTGGGATTGAGCCCTGCATCAGGCTCTGCGCTCAGCATGGAGTCTGCTTGGGAATCTCTCTCCCTGTCCCACTGCCCCTCCCCCTGCTCTCTCTCTCTCCCTCTCTCTCAAATAAAGATCTTAAAAAATAAGTAAATAAAAATACCCAACCTTGTTCAGAAGATAACAGTAACAGTGGTTCTGAGTAGCAGGTATGACCAATATTCTTTATTCGTTTTCCTGCTTTCAATATTTTTCAAATTTTAATAATACCTATGGTCATTTTTGTATTTGTACACATATTTTTACATAATTGCATTGTGTTCAAAAGCATATATTGTAATAAATTATTCTTACACGTGAAAAAATAGTTTCTTATGATATTATGTTTTATATATCGTGATAAGCTATTTTTAAGTAACCTTGAAATATAGATTGAAGACTTACTCACATTTTCTTGCTTTGAAAGAATCCTCTGGTATAATTCATCATCAGACTTCTTTTTAGGAAGAAGATCAAGGAGGCACATTTTTAAAATCTGAATAAACATCTATTGCCAAGAAGGGAAACATAATGAAGAGAAAGGCTTAGAAATGGTATCTCCCTCTCCTATCTCTCCCTCTGTCCCTTTCTTCTCTCTCTCTCTTCACGCACACATACTTTCTGCTGGGGGAAATACCTCAGGTTATAAATCATGACAATAGCCTATAATGGACTGTATTTTCATAAAGCTTCTCAGAAAAAATGCTTCACTTCTTTTGCTTTTCATTCATTTATTCAAGAAATGTTCATTAGGTGCCTGCTCTTGCCAGTCCTTCTGCATTTCCCGATACAAGTCAAGAAAACATAAAAGGCAAAGGGTTGTTGCTTCTTTGTGGGAAGAATCAGAGGCAGTTTGGAACTGGGATGTATAAAGTCATCCACTCCGGCCTCCTGTCACGATGGATGGAGGTGTCCTCTACACCAGAGAGGGTCCTCTTGTAAGTGGGGACACCCAGGACCGTCCAAGGGTGCTGTCTCCACACCTACCATTCACCTGCTGTAGGACATCTGGGTGTTTCCAGTTCGGGGCTATTGCAAATAAAACTAGTAAGAACATCCACGTACGGGTTTCTGTGTGAACATAAGATTCTCTGGGGTTAAATGCACCAGAGTGCAATTGTGGGGTTTTGTGAGAAACTGCCTGTTTTTCAGTGTGACACTCAGCATTCCCACCAGCAATGCGTGTGGGATCCAGTTTCTTCCCATCCTTGCCAGCGTCTGGTGATGTCACCATTTGTTATTTTGGCCAACCTGAGAGGTGTGTAGTCATATCTCATTTTTTAAATATATCTCATTGTTTTAATTTGCACTTCTGTAATGGCTAATGCTGTCGAGCATCTTTTATCTGATTTTGTGCGTGTGTGTTTACCTGTCGACTGTATATCCTTTTTGGTGAAATGTCTGTTCATGGCTTTTGCCCTTTTTCTATTTGGATTGTTTACTTCTATGGAGGTTTGAGCGTTCTTTATATGTTTTAGGTGCGAGTCCCCTGTCGATATGTGACTTGCGAATACTTCTCTTTCCCCCATCCTCTTTAACAGGGTCTTTTGCAGAGCACAAGTTTATAATTCTGATGAGGTTCAATTTATTAGTTTTCCCTTGTGTGGGTCACACTTTCAGTGTTAAGTCTAAGAAAGAACTCTTTGCTTAGTTCTAGATCCTAAAGATTTTCTCCGCTGTTTTTTGTTGTTTTTTTCTAGAGGGCCACACAGTAAACGTTCCTGGGTTTGTGGGCCATACTATCACTTTTGCAACCATCGGATTTTGCTGTTCCAGCATCGAGGCAGCCGTGGGCAATAGGGACAAGAACAGGCATGGCTGGATTGGCCCAAGGGCCACAGTTTGCAACCCTTGTTTTAAGGTTTGTTGAACACTGTTCTATGCCAAGCTAATATGTATATTATTCCATTTGGTTTTTATAGCATGCAGGACATTGGTACAATCTTCCCCATTTTATAGACAAGGTACTCTTCGGCTGAGAAATCTGGATAACTGGCTTCATGTCACAAGGGACAGCCATGAGGGACAGAACCTAGAACTTTCCACCAACCTTCCTTATGCTTGTCAGTGCTAACGAGCTCTGGGAACACAATGTCGTCTTGGCTTTCTACCCACTGAAGTCGAGGCCACGTAAGGTGACGTTCTTTTCTCAAGATGTTGGTCTCAAACCCACTTTCGTTTTGACCCCAGACTGAATCCATGATGTGCACTGTCTTGTCTCCTTTCAATTCAAAAAATTTTTAATTTGGAAAAATTACAGAGACAGAGTCAGAGGAAGGTGCCAAACCAGTACAGAGTCCCGTGGGTTCTGTCGCCTGGGCAATATGTGACGTCACTGTGGGACAGTATCAAACCCCAAACTGACATTGACTTTGGTCCGATGCAGTTACTACAGACTTCACTCCGTTTCCACTCATTGTCACATGTATTTGTGTGTGTGTGTGTGTGTGTGTTTGTCTATGCAACTTTACTCCAAGTACGGATTCATGCAATCACCACCACAATCAAGATAGAGAATGTTTCAGCACCAGGAGAATCCCCTAGGCTGAATGATCCCTCTGTTGGCAACCCCCCAACACACACATCCCCTAATCTCTGCTGTTCTCGCTGCCATTCTGCTTTTAACGATGTCAAATGCAGCTTCTGTCTACCTCCTGACAAGGCAAGTGCCAGTTTCTCCCCCAAGGACCACCAGGGAGCTCTGAGCTCCTGGCCTGCATGACAGTCACATCTGCTCTGAGTCACTTTTTTTTTAAATTTGTTAGTGACACAGAGTGGACACACAGCGTTAGGGCAGTTTCCACTGCACAATACAGTGACCCCCCCAGCTTCGGTCTGAGTCACTTCTGAACTGACCTGTGTGGACGGATCTCTCCCAGAGAAATGGAACTTGAGGTCTCCATGAGTGCTGGTGCAGTTCCCCAGGTCCCGCACACAACGAAGATATGCCCCACAGGGAGGGAAAGGCCACGGGTGGAGAGGGGTCCCCCAGGGCGGTGTCAGCGTCCGTGGGCACATTTCTGTGGAGCACCTACTGTATGCAGGCACACAGACCTTGCACTCAGACCTCATTTGGGTTCTGTGTCTGCCATTCACCAGCTGTGTGATTTGGGGCAACTGACCCGACCTCTCTGAGTCTCAGGTTCCTCGTGAGTGAAAAACAACAGTAAGGCTTCCTTGAGATCAGGCATTTAGAGGGCTTAGCCTAGCAGAGTTTTCGTGCTTCACAGGCGGGTTTGCGATGGTGCTGGTCACACAGCCTGGCAGAGCCTGGAGCTCTGTCTACACAGACCCTTCAAAGTAGGACAGCTTCACTTCCTAGTAATTCTATGGGGTGAGAGCTGAAGAACATTATCTTTATACCTTTCCTAAAGTGGCCCAGAGAGGGGAAGTGACTTACCCAAGGTCACACAGCTCATCCGTGTGGGAGGGTGGACCAGAACCCAAGTCTCTGACTCCTAGTCTAGGGCTCCTTCCCCAGCTTCCAGCTGACGGGTCTCCCTCCAGGGAAGCCTGGCCATCTGCCCCACACTCACTCAGTCCCCTCCACCCCACACGCTCACGGCGCCGTATGGTCTGCTCCACACTACTGTCTGCCGTGGTGCGTTTGTGCGGTTCACTGCCTTCTCCCCCCGGAGAGTGGGCCCCACACAGGTGGGGGCCGTCCCTGGTACTGTGCCGGGCAGGGAGGAGAGGCTCCGTCACGCAGACGAGTGATGGTGGATGCCTTCTCCGTGACAGCAAGCTGCTTCCCCGCGGGCATCTGCTGGCTGCTCTGGGGCCGAGGCGGCCAGCCGGATGGGGCTCTGAGCACAGACACCGTCGGCCCTCCCGGGAGCACAGAGCCTTTGAGAGGACTGCCAGGGCCACCTGCTGGCTAGCGGGACGGGATGTGGCGGAAGGAGAGCAGGCTGCCGCTGCACGTGGGACGCTGCCTCAAGGCCACGGGCTCTTCCAGGACCGTCGGGCCACGGGAACAGGCTCTATTTCCGGAGTCCTGGTATGATTTCTGGTTTCCAGCCCCTGTTTATGAGGCCCATCCTGCTCTCACAGAGCCCCCGTGTCTTTCTACTGCATCTGCAACTTGATGTTTCTATTTTTCCAGTGTCTAATGAAGCACCCCGTGGGCATGTCTGTCTCTGTCACCCTCTCCATCAACCAGTCTCCCATTCTCTTTCCAACAGCCCCCTCCCCCGCCCCCCGTAGGTCTCATCCCTCATTCGATAATTCGGGAGGAAGAACTCCTCTTTTGAAGCTCCGTGGCCCCAAGGCCTGGCCAGCCCTGCCCGGGGGTTCCGCAGCTTTGGTGGGATGTGTCTCTTTGGCTTCCTCGCTGCTCCTTCATCCACTCAGAGAAAGCAGGCCTCTGAAAAGGTACCAGACTTCCCATGTCAGCTCCAACTTAGGGCTTTACGACTCTGGACGAGTCCTCTCTGCACCGCCATTTCCTTGTCCGTAATGTGGGATAATAACAGCACCCACCCCTCCAGGCTGCGGTGAGGTTCACAGCTGACCATCGGTGTGACACGCCCAGGGCCCAGTTCGTAGTGAGCAACATCAAAGTCGGTGCGCATCAACATTGTTGTTACTATTAGCATTCCTTCAGAAATGCTGGCGAGCTTGGGGAGAAAGGGGACCCCTCTCACACTGCTGGCAGGAATGCAAGCTGGTGCAGCCTTTCGGGAAGATAGGATGGAGGGTCCTCAGGATGAAAATAGAGCTACTCTATGACCCAGCAATTGCACTACTGGGTATTTACCCCAAGGATACAAACGTTGTGATCCAAAGGGGCACCTGCACCCCAATGTTTATAGCAGCAGTGTCTAAAATTGCCAAACTATGGGAAGAGCCCAGATGTCCACTGATAGATGAATGGATAAAGGAGATGTGGTATACATGTACAGTGGAATACTACTCAGCCATCAGAAAGGATGAAATCTTACCATTTACATCGACATGGATGGAACTAGAGGGTCTTATGCTGAACGAAATAAGTCAGTCAGAGAAAGACAAATACCATATGATTTCACTCATATGTGGAATTTAAGAAACAAAACATGACCATAGGGGAAGGGAGGGAAAAATAAAATAAGATGAAATCAGAGATGGAGACAAACCATAAGAGACTCCTAACTCTAGGGAACAGACTGAGGGTTGCAGGAGGGGAGGGGAGTGGGGGGATGGGGTAACTGGGGGATGGGCATGAAGGAGGGCACGTGATGGGATGAGCACTGGGTGTTATATGCAACTGATGAGTCACTGACCTCTACGTCTGAAACTAATAATCCACCATATGTTAATTAAATTGAATTTAAAATAAAAAATAAAAATGCCTCTCTTTCCAACACCTTTTACCTGTGTCCACCAGGAGGTGACCTGTGGGACGAGGGTCTCATCTGTCTGCCTCGCCCCGCAGCTCCCAGTAAAGGAGAGCCCGCGCCCCATCAGCAGGCACACATTGCTTCTGTCCCTTCTGGCCCCAGAGGCTCCACGGTCACCAGCACCCATCCCCAGAGGACACTCAGGACTGTGTGCCCGCGGAGAGCCGCGTTCAGGACCCGGGACAGGGCGAGCGGCCCACCCTGCCACCTACCATGTGCTTCTCCCGCCTCAGCGCCGTGTCCAGATGCAGCAGATCTTTTAAGTGAAGGTTATAGATACACAAGTCAAGGTCCACACTGAAAAGTGGAAAGAGAAACAGAAAGCCACGGAGAGTATTTGAGATGTTCCAGGGAGTTAGCGCATCCCTGCTCAGTACAAGCCTCGGTGCATCCTGACTCCAGATTTTAAGTTCTGCAGCACCCAGAGACGCCTAAGAGCCGCCCCAGGTTTATATGAAGGAATCAAGGGAACTATCTGAAACTCACTTGTGACCAGAGGGGAACAGCTGCCCGAGACGTGAAGGGCAGGAGGCAGCAAGAGTCGGAGGTGGGAGCAAAGAGGGATCACACCCCTTGCCGGCATCGGAATACCTGAGTCACGTGTCACCTCTCCTCTGCCCTGCAGGCAGACGTTCTCATGCCCATTTCACAGATGGGGAAACGGACTTAGGAAGTCAAGTAGCGGTCACACGGTCACGGGGCAGGTAAGTGGCAGGGCGGATTGGACCATCTGTCCTGCGAGGGCAAATGCACTTTGAATGGCCACACCCCCACCCAAACTGTGACAAGGCCACTAAGTCCCAAAGCTCATCCACAGCCCTTCCCAGCCAGCAGGCTGAGCCACCGTCCAGGTCAGCACCCAGCTCAGGGTCTGGGCCCTCTCCTTCCACAGTCCTGAGCGGAGGTCGGATCTGGTTCATCTCACCGAGGAAGGGCCACTTGGACTCACCGAACTTCACAGAGCAGAGAGGTCTGAGGACTGAAGCACAGATGTGCTGACTCAGTTTCTTGGGCCTCTCCAGTGTGCTGAGTGGTTTGGTGATTTAGAGCATGGACTTTGGAGATAAGCCAAACCCGGCTCCATCACTCACCTGCTGTGTGACCTTGGGCAAGCTACTCAGCCTGTCTCCTTTTACTCTTTGTAAAATGAGGGCAATAATAGCACCTACTGCATAGGGTCATTCGTAGGAATTAGTTCATTGATTGATTCATTTTTATTCATCTGTCCCTGAACCTGCCCCAGGGTCCCGCTGTGCAGTGGGGACGCTGCACTGAAGAAGACAGACCCGGTCATCCTCACGAGATAATTAATCCCTGCGAAGTGCTCAGCACTCTGCCTGGTACACAGAAGGCATCTAATCCGTGCTGGCTGCTGTTATGCGGGCCCAGGGCACGTCAGTGATTCAGTGAGGCCCCCTAACGGGGCTCTCCCCAGGGCTCAGGCCAGGGTCCATAACCCCCACATTGGCCACCACCACCACGGCAGCTGGGGAGCCCCGGCTCGGATGCTGTGTGGCTGTGTGTCCGTGGCTGACTTGCTTAACCTCTCTGGGCCTCCATTCCCAACACCGACAGAGACAGGGTCCATTGGTCGGCTTCCCCGCGCCTCCCCCTCCTTACCTCTCACAGATCAGCGCCTCGGGGAAGCTGTTGGCCCGGACGAAGGTGCGACTCAGGAACCTGTCATAGCTGGTGGCCGAGTGGATGCTGGACGAGGAGCTGCAGTCCTCCTTCTCGGCCTGGCTCAGGCTCCCCAGGCTGCTGGAGGGGGAAGCCTCCACTGGCTGGTTTGGCAAGACAGCCTGTTTTAAGTTTTCATGCAGGGAAGGATTGGAGGAACCATCGGCCAGGGGCTGGGGTGACGGGAGAGAAAGCACACTCAGTCCATGGGGCCTATTGTGACTTTGCTTCAGTAATTCCACCAGTAAGGCCAGGTGGGGGCAGACTGGGAGGGGAGTGAACAGGTAGAGCTTCTCCCCCAGGGTCACGTCCACGCCCCAGGGACCCATGTCATGGCTCTTGTCCCCAGCAGGCCAGCCTCTGTGCAACAGGCTCCTACCCCTTAGCTGTTAGCCTGGGTCTGTTCCCCGGTGGCCCACCTGCACCCCACACTCGGCTGCCAACTCTGACCTCCACAGCAGTCCGCCGGCCCCCCTCCCTCTCCCGCCACTGGCTCAGACCACTGGGCGTGCTCTGTCTGCCAACCCGCTGACCACCTAGCTCTTCCCCATCTACGCTGACCTGGGCATCACCCTCCCAACCCCAGGCCTTTGAGGTGGCTCCCCACTGCCCTTGGATAGGCCCAAAGCTCTTATCAAGGAACTCAAGCCCCATGCACTGCCATGACCATGCCAGGTGACAGCCTAGTGCCTAGCGTGGCTGGAGGGTTCATCAGCTGTCCATTGCCACCTCTGTCCAGCCTGTCTCGCTGCTCCAGGATGTGCCTGCCCAAGCACTCCTGAGCTGGCTGCCAGCTCCAAACCTCCCCTGTCATTTCAGACTTCTGGGCCTTTCCAGACTCTGGTCCCCCTGCTGAAACAGCCCTCGCTCACTGTCTGCTGGGCGGAAGCATCCCTCCCCCCAGACACAGACCCAGAGTCCTTCCCAGCCCACGCAGGCTTCCGCAGGCCTCTGCAGGCCTCTGGTCATTTCTGTCTTGCCCGGGCTCACACACCATCCCACAGGCTCTGCCCAGACGGTGAGGGCCTCCAGGGTGAGAACGATGCTGTCCTGACCACTGGATTATCCCAGTGCCCACCAGGAGCCTGCCTGGCCAGGGCTGTGGACGATGAATCACGCTCCCGCTCTGGGAGTTTGGCCCCTTCAACCGCCCACCAGATAGCTAAGTGCGGGGAGCAGTTCCCAATGCGTGCTCCTGGGAATAGTTCCGGTTACTGCTCCCCGTAAGTAAGGGTTCCGCAGAAAAATTAATTCGGGAAAGTCTGTGTTAGGTGAGGTGAAATCATGTCTTTGGTGCAGGACTTTGCAGAGCCTGGCTCCAGCTGTCTTCAAAAGCAAATAATCATTGAAAAAAAATGAACAAATACTGAGCGCTCAGATGTCACACACTACGCTAAGCCCTATGTCTATTATCATTTGACCCTCAAACAACCGGGGGAGGCAGGAGGGCCCAGCGGCCCCCTTTCCAGATGAAGAAACGGAGGCTGAGTCAGGAAATGGCCCACAGAAAATGGTCGAGGTGGGAATTAAGACGGAGTCTGTGTGACTCCAGAGCCTGTCCTCTTTATGGGCAGGAGAGCGAGTTGCATTTCTCTCCAGTACTGGACCAGGGACTCTTTCCTTTATGGAGACTCTCACAGGTCAACGGCCCCTGGAAACACCGTGGGATCTGCTGATATCTGCAAAACTCCTGACCACAGGTGTGAATTCCCAGCTTCAGCTGTAAGACCTGCAGCCAGGTGACCTCAGGCAGGTCATTAGCCTCTCTGGGCCTCAGTTTCCTTATGCACAAAGAGGCAATGACTGTATGATTTACCTTATATGAAATGCCTATTACGTGACAAATGCTTAGCACTGTGCCAGCCCCCCCAGGACGTGTTCAGTAACGTGGGGGGGGGCATGTGTGAGTGAGGAGCAAGGCTAGTCATTGCGTCTGTGCCCATGTTTGTATTAGCCTAGAACGGCAGAATGCTGCCCAACTGGGCTGTCACCTGCTGTTCCTGGGGATACCTTGCTATACCCTGTCCCCGACAACGCTGTCATAAAGTGAATTCATCCTAAAGTTTTGCTCCATCACAAAGCTTCAAAATTATCCCTATTAAAAGGACTTGCTGTAAAACCCCCAGACAGGACCCAAAATCACACACTTCATCTGCCTACTCCTGCCCCAATCTCTAGCACCTTACTGAGTAATCACATTTCTCAGACGGAGCTGAGGACTCTCACCCGGAACTTCTGATTGATGGGATAGATGACTTTTGCCTTCAGAGCAAATGCTGTGATGTTGCTGTTGAAAGCTGGGTCACATTCCTGGGAAGGAAGAACAAATGGCATGGGGCGCTTTCTGTAAAAGGAAAGATAAACCACTAAGAGTTACCGAACTGTCACATCCCATTTGTAACGGTGGCCTCAGGAAGGGACCATAGCAGGCATATTTAGATCCAAGTAGGTGTTCACCTGCTAGGTGGCTGGGTGAAAGGGTGGAGGGATGGATGGATGGATGGATGGATAGATGGATGGAGGGATGGATGGATGGATAGATGGATGGAGGGATGGATGGATGGATGGACAGGAAAATGGATGGGCAGGTGGATGGATGGATGGATGGATGAGTGGATAGGTAGATGGAAAGGTGGATGGATGGATGGACAAATGGGTGGATGGATGGATGGATGGGTGGACACATGGGTGGATGGGAAAATGGATGGGCAGGTGGGTGGATGGATGGATGGACGAATTGGTAGATAGGTAGATGGAGAGATGGATGGATGGACAGATGGACAAATGGGTGGATGGATGGATGGGAGGATGATGGAAAGGTGGATGGATAAATGGATGGGTGGATGCACAGACAGATGTTATATAGTACATTCCTTATTTAATTCTAGATCTTCAGCTTTGGAAGAAATATGTATTTAAATAACATGGCAATAATTAATGAGTTTTCCTAAAAATTGTGACCCACCTTTTAGTGGAAAAAGAAACAGAATAGTTTTAGCGTTGCCAAAGGTGTAAACACTTCCACATGGCAATATTCATGCAAGACTCTGGATCAGACCCTTAAATGAAAAGTGGTTGGGCAAGTCTTTTCACGTCTCTTTGAGCCTCAGTCTTCCCAGACAGAAAACAGGTACCGTATCCACCCTCCCAGGACTGCATAGATAAAGCACCCAGGAAAGTAGCTGGAACAGAACAGAAGTGAAGCAATAGGCAGCTCTAAGGAATGGCAGGAAGGAGCCGCGTCTCTGGGGAGTCTTCTCTGACCACAGCTGGACCGACCTCTTCATAGCTGCTCTACATCCCCACGTGCTTTCTGGGTCTTTCTCCTGCCAGGGCCACCCCCTGCACCTTGCTAGGTGGGTGCTCAATAAATGTTTTGGAAATGACCTGCAGGGGATGAGGGCGAACAGGCAGACCAGTCAGGAGCCTGGCACTCCAGACCACGAGCAATTTCTACTTACCGGTTCTGAGCTGGCTGATGGGCTTACACTGCACCCACATCTACCTCGATACTTCTCAACTACACCTTTCTGGAAAAAAAAGCTCTATAATAAATGACTGATTGCCAGTTGCCAACTTGGAATGAGATACCCTACCACGGGGGATACAGAAGGATTTATCATTTCCTCATGATGCAGGCATTGACCTGGCACCTGACTGAGCCAGCAGTGTGGCCCCCAGGTGTCTCCAGAGCGGGTTTCACCAAGATGCCCTTCTGGGCGGGGTGGGGATGAAGGCCACATGGTGAGGGCAGGGCTTTGTCATTTCCATCTGTACTTAATGACTCACAAAAACAGATTTAGATGACAAGAATGGGTCAGACCACCGACACGTGCCACCTCCTTCCACTTCCGAGGGCTACTGTCTCCAGATCCCAGAGGGGGAGATGTGACACAGAGCCCAAGATCACACAGCTAATAAATGCCAGAACTGGGATTTGAGCTCAGATTCCCTGGCTCCGGAATCCCTCCTCTTTAGCTGACACCTTTCTGTCTCCTTCAACATCATGCAAATAAGAACAGGGGTGAGAGCCAGGAAGTTAAACAGGAAATTGGGTGTTCGGTGGAGAAGACCCCTGGACTGGCCTCATCATTCTCCGGGAACACAGGTCAGATCCCAAGATACTTTGTCGCTCCCATGCCCCAACCTGCCATGTCAAATCAACCACAAAGCCCACCAGCTTGGACTCCTAAATGTCACTCGGACCCATCACACTCTCCTGAGCCACCACCATAGGGCTGCAATAGCCTCCAAGCTGGCTCCCATCCGTGCACCAAGCGCCTACTGTGTGCTGGGCTCTTTATGCACTCTTGCTCATTTATTTATCACACAACAGCCAGCTTGGGGAGGTCCGTACTATTTCCATCATCCCTATTTCATGGAGTGAGTCTCAGAGGTTAACACCTTCTAATGCATTCTCTACATGGCAATCGGATGGTCTTTTAAACCTGAAACCTCCATCACCGCCAGCTTCAACTCCTTCCTGGCATCCCTGTGATCCGAGGGAGCAGAGCATGGCCTGTCCCAGCCCCCAGCCCCCAGCCCCAATCTCTGTTTGAAGCCGTGTGGGTACAAAATCAAAGGATAGCAGTAAGATCGAAAAGGCTGGTTTCAGAACAGGTTATATAATTTGTGGGGCCCAATACAGAATGAAAAGTGGGAGGTGCGTCTGATTAAAATGTGATTAAGATATTTTAATCTTGAGCAGGGACTCACCTGCTCAAGAAAAGCTAGGAAAGCAGAGGGCACTGTGCTTTTCTAAACTTCTTACAAACAGAGGTGAAAAGAAAGCACAGCATGGAAGGAGTGGAAAATGAGAGGAAGACATGGTCCCCGCCCTCCAGCAGAGATGGAAAGCAAAAACTGCACTTAATGTGGAAAACATAATTAGAAGCACAGGATGGAGATGCCAGGGTCCACCTGGGACATCTGGAAGCAGAACCGGGATGCACGTCGAAGCATAAGCTCAGGTGACAGGTTACTGTGGCTGTTTGGGGAGCCTGAGAATGCACGTGTGTTTCTGGCCCATCCACCTGCAGACTGCAAGCCCCTCGAGGACTGAGGACTAGCACTTTGACAGTCATGGTGTTGGTCGGGATGAAGGACCTGGAAGCGCTCGGCATACGGAATCCAGGAGTGAACAGACTTCTGCTGTTTTTAGTTTTTACGTTTTTGCTCTGTTTTTTTTTTCTTACAGCTTTTCTTATTAAGTTCAGATGCCTTCCAAATTCTGATAATCTTCTCAACCGTAGCAATACAATTATACAGAAAATTGGTTGTAGTGCGAGCCTACCATGTAAAACTTCTTCAGCTGGAGAAATGCAATTATTCAGAAAATTAGTGAAAGCATAATTGCTGGAAGAGAAAAGGCGTTTCACTCACCGACGTAGAGATGTTCTTTCAGTGAGTGTACGGCAGCGTCCACGAAGGAGCGTCCCCTCTCCCTCCTCCAGAACAAAAGGACAGGATGAAGAGAACCAAGGCTGTAACATGGCACGCTGAAGAACCTTCTGGAATTTTCTGTTTGTTTTTGACTTGACGTGAGCTCTTCATCAAAATAAAGTTCAGGCAAGGAGTGGTGCGAACCACAAATGCCTTGGTTTTCCGTGCATTCTGGGACGTCGAAGTTAGAGTTCAGCTCACCCTGTCAGAATGAGTCCTGGCCAACATTCCCTGACAAGCTTGGTCTGCAGAAGGCAGGGCATTTTGGCAAGCCAGTCACTGGAACAGGCAGATCTTTAACTTGGCTCTTGGCAATGATTAGCTTGATTGTGGGCATCGTCTGGCGTCGCTAAATGGTTAACAGGTAAAACATTACCAGGTAAAAACATGAGCGAGCCTTCCAGGGAGGTAGAAGGACTTGGCTCCCTGGAAACACCGATGAACACTTGTCCTGTAGTCGGAATGTTCATGGAGTCCACCGATGGGTGACCGTCGGGCCAGCCTCATTACTGTCATCGTGAAGCCGAGAAACCGGAGGCTCAGACAGGTTATGTCTCTTGCCCAGCATCACACAGCAAACAGGTGACAGGGCTCAGTTCCTGGGAGCCAGGCGCCAGGCCCCCCGAGCCAGTACGTTTTCACCACTCCAAGGCCACCCTCTGTGTGAGCAGGGTTGTATTCATGCAATTCAACCACGTGAAGCATGAAACTTAGTAATTTTCAGTATATTCACAGACATGTGCAACTATTCCTACAATCAGTTTTGGAACACTCTTACCATCTCAGAAAGAAACCCCATACCCGTTAGCTATCATCTCTCTCACCCCCTCCCCAAGTGCCCACCAGCCTCCTTTCTGTCTCTGTCGATGTACTTGTTGTAGACATTCCATATGAATGGAATCCTGTAGTATGTGGTCTTTCGGGACCGGCTTCTTTCAGTTAGCATGCTATTTTCAGGGTCCCTTCATGCTGTAACTTGTTTCAGGATTTCTTTCCTTCTTATGGCCCAAGAGTATTGCATTGTATGGATAGAACACATTCTGTTGAGCCATTCATCAGCTGATGGACACTTGAGATTCCACATTTTGGCCAAAGAGGGCTGTTATGAACACAGTGTACATGTTTTTGTGTAGCCATATATTTTCATTCGTGTGAGCAGGGTTTTGATAACACAGGGTGATAGGGACAGAGGGAGACAGATGAGGGAAAGAGAGATATCACGCACCCACCTCTCACACAGTCACACAGAGATGCACGCGGAGAGAGACACGAGACAGAGGGACCTAGAGAGCCGCCCTGATACACACACATGCAGACACATGGGGAGAGACAAGCACTTGGGACCAGAGAGGCAGGGACACGGGCTGGACACACAGCACCTATGTGCCAGGGGCTCGCTCTAGCTCCAGGGCTGGCTCCCCGTGCCAGCCCCGTGAAGGCAGCTAAGCTTTCCACTGGAATGTGTAAGGGAATCATCGAGAAGGGGATATAAATAAGATCTACCTCATGGGGCTGCTGAGAGAGGTGTATGGGGTAATTCACACGAGTGTTCACATCACTGAAAAGTGACACATGGGAAAATGCCTGGTACTCAGTAAGTGCTAAAAAAAAAAAAAACCCCGGAAAACCAAAAAACAAACAAACAAAAACCTTTCCCCTTTTCTCAGGAACCCTCTAGCTCTCTCTCTGTCTACCTACCTATCTACCTACCTAAATATCTGTATTTACCTTTGGGCAATTGAGGTTAAATGACCAGGATCCATGGAACTTTCTGGGGGGCAGGAAGTGTCTAGAAATAGCACACCTTTGGAAGAAACACCCTGTCTCTCCACGGAGCTCACGCACAAAGTGATGCTCTATGGGCGGGCTCAGGCTGGACAGGGTGGGGGTCACTGAGGAAGGACCAGGGAGAATCCACCTTTAACATGTCCCTCAAGAGGCCCAGAGCCTGCACTCCTGGATATTTACTTAACATTCACTTAAAAGAAATAACACGAAATGAAAACAAACTTATATACAAACATTCACAGAAGCCCTATTCAGGATAGCCAAACACGGGAAACAACCCACTCTGTGCTCTATCTCCGAAGTGGACTGAGCAATTAGAAGGGATAAATTATCGATATGTGCAACAACATGGTGAGTCTCAAAAGCAGGATGCTGAGGCAATCCCAAGCAAGCACACGATCCCACTGATGTGAAATTCTAGAACAGCAAAACCACCCTGGTGATAGGAATCACAGCAGTGCCTACTTCTGGAAGGGGCGGGGTGGGGGGTGGGGGATATGCAGGAGGGTAAACCAGAAAGGGGCACTGGAGAACTTTCTGGGGGTGATGGAATGTTCCAGATTGGGGTTTTGGTTAGAAGAATGTATATACTTATCCAACGGTAAACTTCAGATTTGTGCATTTTACCACATGTAAATTATACGACAGAAAAGAAGCCAACTGGGACAGGAAGGCTGTCAGAGGCTCATCTGGATGGCATCTGCACTGCCAAGTGGGACACATGATACCCAACACACGACTCGGCAAATAAACCCAAACATGCAGCTTACGTCCACAGCCTCCTCCTTTGACATCTGGGCTTCTCTCCTCCTCCTCCTGGACAGGGAGCCAGTTTCCGAGGGATCCTGTACATGAGACTCTAAATTCTTGAGCAGACTCTGAGCATCGTCTTTCTAAAATCCAAAGGTGGGGTTGGGGAGAACACATAAAGCCGGTCAGCCTAGTGCTCCTGGGACTCAGGCCATCAACCCCCCCACCCGATGTGTGCTCATCTCTGTGTCTCTGCCTGGCCCTCTGCATGCAGCGTCATGCCTCCTCCCCTGCCTGGGGTCAGCCACACAGCCTTCGAGACTGTCCAGGCGTCAGCTTCCTGAGAAGCCCCCGGGTTCCCTGCCTCAGGATGTCCTCTGGACCTGGAGGTCATACTTGGATCAAAGGTCACTCTACTGTTCTTCTGGGTTGGGGGCCCCTGGTAGCCTGTGAGCTCCCTGGGGTAACAGCTGAACACGGGAAATGGTACATAAATATTAATTTTCCTGTTATTTCCCATAATGCCATCGGATGATTTCAAGAAAATATTTTAGGTACCCTTAAATTACAGAATGGTTTGTATTGTGAACCACGGTTGATCCTTGGTAATGGTAGAGTCTGCATTTGTAAATTTGCTTACTTGTCGAAATTTATCTGTAACCTCGCCAAATCAACACCTGTGGTGCTTTTGAGGTCATGCCTGGGCATGGGCAGAGTGGTGAAAATTCGAGCTGCCTGCCGTGCCATGTCCAATGGAGAGCCTACGAGGTGACGCCCTGCCTTCCTGTGACAGCTCTCCTATCGCAGACCAAGGTCCCTTTCGTGTTCTGTGAATGCCCTTCTTCTCCCACATGCTGTGCTTTCCGTTGCTGATGTAGTTGTTTAAAATGACCCTTAAGTGTCGTGCTAAGTGCTGTGCGGTGTTCCTAAGGGCAAGAAGGCTGGCGTGCCCCTCATGGAGAAAACGTGTGTTGGATAAGCTTCATTCAAGCATGAGTTATGTTGTGCTGTTGGCTGTGCGTTCACTGTTCATGCATCAACAATTTGTATTAAATAGGGTGTCTTTATACAGAAACACACATCGAACAAGGTTATGTATTGGCCGGTTAATGAAGATGTTGTGGCCAGAGTCTTGCAGAAACCCAGCCCTGTGTTTCCCTAGGAGCAATGATTCAGTATTTGCTAATTCTCTGTTTGCCATGATTCCGTAGATCATAATGATCAACTGTATTTGAAATCCCATTATGCCAGAGACCCTGGTCAAGCCTCTCTTATGGTGCTCATGGATATAATCTTTACACTGAAGGAACATCGCCAGTTTGTCGTGGAGTTAGCTCGCAACTGTTACGAAGCAACCCAAAGCGTCTAGCCTTATTCTAGTCACTGGGAATGGAGTAATGAACAAAATAAACAAAGCCCCTGCCTTCATGGAGTTTACAGTCCAGCAACAAAAAAGTGATGTAAATAAATATGTCGTAAGTCAGCGGTGGTAAGTGTTAGAGAGAAAGATGATGGAGGACAGGAGAATGGAGGGGAGGCCTCTTGGACAAGGTGGCATTTGAGAAGAAACATGAAGGAAGTGAGAGAGCAAGCCATTCAGATATGTTAGGTACAAGCTTTCCAGGAGCGGGCACAGCAAGTGCAAAGGCCCTGTGGCAGGACCATGCACCGCATGCCCAGGGAAGGCCTTGTGGCTGCACCAGTCTGGGGTGCGGTGGAGGGGGGCAGATGATGAAGCCAAGGATTTAGGGATTGTTTGTTTACCCGTTATAGCTGACCACTACAGGGGTTCTGTAGGGAAGGACCCAATCAGATCATCCTACAGTAGAGACTCCAGCATGAACCTCATCCACCCCATGGAGGAGCAGTGTTATTTTGCTCCCCAGTTAAAAGTAACCAGGAAGCCAAGGGTCACCAGCCACTTGAGGACAGACTGTGATATGAAAGAGAAACCCCCAAACAAACAAAAGGAAAAAGCAAGCTGGAAACAGACACTGTATAGGGAAAAGTTGTTTATTAAAACAAATAAACAACTATAATATCCTCAGAGAGCCAAGAGAAGATGTTACACTCACAAAATAAGAACAGGGCAGCATAAACATAAGACGTTCTGAGGACAGAAAAGGAGACTCAAAAATGAAAACCGTGAAAATCTTGACACAAGTGTTGTTGAGAAAAGCCTTCCAAAAATGGTGTAAAAAGAAAAAGAGATGGAAAACAGGAGAGAAGGAAGGCAATTGGTGGTCCAATTTAACCAAAACATGAGACGAGTTCCCGAAAGAAACAACAGAATATATAAAAGGAAAAGAATCATCAAGGAACTCAAGAGAGTGAGTCTGCACACTGAAAGGGCTTCCTGGATGCACGGCCCAAGGAGGGCGATCGACTGCCACCAATCCCCGTCCTGGTATGCTTCCTACGCTGGGAACAAAGAAGTGATGCTTCCAGATTCCACAGGGGAACAAAACAAAGTTATCAGGGATCAGAACAAAATCCTATTTCTCCACATCCACCATGGCAGTTGGAAGACAATGGGAAAAGGGCCTTCAAAATTCTGGGGGAAAATTATTTCCAACCTGGGATTCTATGACTTAACTACTCTCACCAAGTTGAGAATAAAGACAGAAGGGCACAGATACTTTCAGACACAGAAGTTCTTAAAAACCCTTCCCTCCATCTCTTTCTCAGGAAGATATTGGAGGCCGTGCTCCACCCAAAGGAGGAAATGATCCCAGAAAGACAGTGGAGGGGGTCCCCAAAAGAGGATGCAACGTCGGGGAGGTGACAAAGTTCCAGCGTGATTGGCCCTGAGAGGTCCCACTGGTGACAGCGAAAGTCTACAGCAGCTGCTTCTCAAAGATGAAGAACAAAAACATCACTGGAGGGGCTCCTTAAACACAGCTTGCCGGCCCCACCTGCAAAGATTCTAATCAGTGAGTCTGGGGTGGGGCCCAGGAATTAGCATTTCTAACAAGCTCCCAGGCTGCTGCTGGTGCTGCTGGTCTGGTCCAAATGAGAGAAGCAGTGGTCCAGAGAGCAACCAACTCAGACTGGAGCAGGCGAGAGGTTTTCCGGAGAGGTGTTTTGCAAGAAGATAAAATTGATCAAATACTTAATGCCTTCAAACGTCTCAAAAAAATGTATAGAAATGGAGGGGAAGCCAGCGTTAAATGACCAAGTACACAGAATATGAGCCAATGGGGGAAAAAAAACCCTGGGTAACTATATGCAATGACAAAATGGAAAATAATCATAACGTAGCTGATCCTTGACTTACAGTGAAAATTGCTTACAAAAATCCTCGGAAAGGAAACACTGAAAACTGATTTAACCAAAATTGCCCTATGGCCACGAGGGGGCGGGGCGGGGGTGGTGGTGGCTGGTGGGTGGGTGTGCACATGAAGGAGGAGAAAAGAGAGCTGAACCTCTCCCCAGCCCACAGTGGGAAGTCAGTGCTATGCCGAAAGCCAAAAATGCAAGGGGCAGCCAAGAAAGCAGGTTATTTACAAAGGGGAAGTAAATGACCAAAGAGCCGGCTGAAAGAGCTAGACGAGGTGGCTTCTGGGAAGTGGCGAGAGGACAGTGGCGTTGCTGCCTATAAATGAACACTTGATGTGCATGTATAATGTCGATGCAAATATAAAGTTTTAATGATGAAATAAAAACAAAAGAAAAAAAAAGCAACAAAAAGAAAGTGGCATAACACACAATTACGAGCTGGGTGACGTGGACCAGAGGAGAACAGAGATCCCAGGGTGCACAAGGGAAGAAGTACCTCATCCAGCCTGGAGGGGCTTCTCTCTGCATCCTGAAGGATGAGCGGGCAAGCAGAGAAAGGTCACTGCAAACAGACAGAATGGATGTGCAGAAGCAGAGAGGGATCGGGGAGCAAGGAGAGGCTGGGGGGCTGGAAAACAGGATGCAGGGGGTGCACGGCACCTTGCGTTTGGCTGGATGCCCTGGGGAGAGGCAAATACCTTATGCACCGTTTCCTTAAGCTAGGAAAAGAGACTTAAGGAAGAGAGGAGGAAAGGAGTCCACTTAGAAAGAAGGCTGTTGCCAAGGTCCCATCCAAATCATGAGAAAATCCCGGCAGCCAGACCCTGGGGCCAGAGCCCCCTCTATGGCTACTGCCCTGGTCTGAGTCACCATTACCTTCAACTGGACTAGTGTAGCTCTTACTGACCAGCGGCCCAATCTCAGATAGTTTGGTTAACCCCTGTAAGCCTCAGCTGACTCAGTCGTGAAATGGGCCACCGCCATGGTCTGAAGGTGTGTGCCCCACTCCCCATGCGTAGGCTGAAATCCCAACTCTCAAGGTGACGGTATTTGGAGGTGGGGCCTTTAGGAGGTCCGGGGCGGGGGAGTCCTCCTTACAAAAGAGGTCCCAGAGATTCCCTGACCCTTCTACTCTCTGCGGACACAGTGAGAAGTCTGCAACCCAGAAGCGGGCCCACACCAGAACCCAGACGTGGTGGCACCTGATCTTGGACTTCTGGCCTCCAGAACTGTGAGAAAGAAGCTTCTGTTGTTTATAAGTCACACAGTTTATGGTACTTTTCTTATAGCAGTCCGAACAGACTAAGACAAACACTACCTGCTACATCACCAGATGGCAGAGGACTAAAAGCTCTGATTTAGGGTTTCGGACAGCCTGGGGTTGAAATCCAGCCCCGCTCTTTATTCATCACATGACCCTGGACCAAGAACATGGTTGGGGAGCCTCAACTTCCTTTCCTGGCAAGTGAGGATAATGACAGCTCTCCAACTCAGGGGTTTGGGGCAGGAATAGAGAACCCAAAGTCCACAAACACTCAGCTCGGAACAGGGCACCCAGCAAAGGTTGTGCACGTGTTACTTCCCGCTAAACACAAGAAGCCAGTGTCTCTCAGTGTCCCTTAACCACCAGCGGGATGTGACAACCTCAAACTGACCTACAAGCATCTTGCACTATGTTAGTTGCGTTCAACCTTTATCACGCCTTTCAGCAACACACTCCCCCCAACGTCAGCAGCCATCTGCTGGACTTGTCTCCTTCTCACATGGGCCAGGAATGCAGGGAACAAGACCACGCACCGCATCTCAGATCCTACCGGACTTCATCCCTCAAAGAGGTCAAAGCGGCAAGGACCCAAGACAGTGATCACACTACACAGATCAAATGCCCGCTGTATGCCCACCATCTCCACACAACATCCAATTCTGTAACAATGGTCACGTGAAGCATCCGTGAATCCCCTTCTGTGACCACTGCCACCCACGGAAAATACAATGACTGGGCTTAGACACACATCTGTCACCTTGGCAAGTCACTGAACCTTTCTGAGCCTCAGTTTCCTCACATGCAAAACGGGGTCCTGAAATAGAACAAACTCACAAATCTGTTCTGGGGATCCAATGAGATAATTCAGGCATAGAGTCTAGCTCAGCGCCCAGCACACAGTCGGCAAGCACCGAACTCCCCAGAATGTTCACTTAAAATCTCGCTTTTTCTGGAGACGGTGACCCTCCAGCAGCAAGGGCAGGGTCTGTCCTGCACTGGACTGTGGCTGGCAGAGGTGCTCATCACACTTTTACTGCAGGGAGGAAAGAGTGAATGAATGCACGAATGCATGCCAGGGTGGCAGCTGGGACTGGAGAGGCTAGTTAGGTAACCCACCCGGCAAGCAGCAGAACGGACACGGGTGGGGATCGCAGCCCTCCTGTCCACCGCGCTCAGCCGGGCCCCTCGGCCGGCGGCGAGTCCAGACCCTTGGGGCTCCAGATGAGAAGACTGAGGCCTCGGTGGGCTTTAGCGGCTGTCTGTGGTCGCACAGCGGAGTCGGACAGAGCCGCCACTTCTGGAGGCCCCTAGGCCGGTACGCTCCTGTCACTCCACCGCCCCCCTCTGGACTCGGTCTCCAGCCCGCTCCTGGGCTGGAGGGGAAGACTGGGCAAGACCCGGTGCTCGCGACGCCCGCGATCTCGCTCGAGCGCCGACCCGGCGCAGGAGGCCCGCGCGCGCGCGCCCCTCACCGGCCCCCCCC